CCGGAAGGCCCGATTCGAAGCAGCTGCGATAGCAAACCCAGCTCGGCCACCGGCTGCCCACCTAAGGGGATGCAGGCTGCCTGGGTGCGGGGTCTCCCCTGCGCTCCCCGTGCCGTACGGGGCTCTGAGTCCCAGGCGTCGGGGTGCCCTGCCCTGCTTTTATCGCCCTGCTGGAGACAGATGTTTTGCAACCCGTGTTTTGCTGGTAGGTCCAAAACCTGTTGTTGCATTTGCATAAGCAAGAAAACAAATATATGGGAAATTGCTCATTTTATTACATCTTACATGCAAGGCTGAAATAAGAGGGCTAATTAGATGAGGAGGAAATGTTTGTATACGTGATGAGAAATTAGCTCTAAAACACTTGCAGTGCAAACGAGCCAACCTGAACTGTCACTGCAGCCTTTGCTGGCTCCCACGACAACGTTTACATGTAGCCTTTAACCCTTAGCGCACTCCAAAGAATAAAGCTACAACGGAAGAACTACAACCAAAATAATTGTGTTTTATATCATGATTGTTTTAATGCACTAAAGCCGCGGGCTGAATCTGGTTAGCCTCCGCTACGTGTCAGCACAGCGAACTTATGTCTCGCTCGCTGCAGCCGACGCTGCAGCAGGACGTGGTAAGCAGCTTGGCGGCTTCGCGCTTCTCTAGCGCGGACATTTTCCTGGCGCCCCGTAGGTCTCGTTCGGCCTCGGACTTGGCGTTCCCGGTTTCTTCGCTGTCCATCTCCACCTTCTGATCCCCGTAGTTGAAGGAGTCTGCGTAATCGTTGTTCTCGCGTGAGAAAGGCAGGGGATTTTCACTCTCTGTTGCGTAAAAATTAGAAAGAAGCTACAAATTAGAGGTCATGGAGTCGATGTTTGTTAGATATTTGTCTTTACCGGAAGGAAAGACCAGCCTGCAGCCGAAGAGCCGAAGGTATTACCCGCCGCGTGAACAAGGGGGACGCGCTGGACCGCTGGCTCCTCTTCACCAGGTCAGCGTTAAGGCAGACACGCGGAGTACCGATCCCGTGACTCACGTGTTACAGAACCAGTAACTTCAGGTCTTATGTGAAACAAGGTCCACGAGCACAGTGCTCCCTGCAGGAATCGCTGCCTTGGGGGGGGTCTTTACGCTGCTGCTTGCTTCAAAGGTTGTTGCTCAGCCAGCGGCAGGCGATCACCGTGTTAACCCAGCGCATCCCGCAGGCTTCCCCAAACGCAGATGCTCTGTCAGCGCATCAGACACCCGGCGGTACCCGAGCTCCTGCACGGTCCCACTAAAATTAGGCTTGTATTCATGTGGGTTTTAAATAGCACCCTACCCCTGGGAGGGCCTTGCAGAGGCTAGAAAGCTATAGAAGTTGTCTGTCTCCCTTAACTCGGCTGTGGCAGTTTCGGCCCTCTTAACGTACCGCCAGATACAGCGTGCAGCAGTACTGCCGGCGGTATTGCTTCCTCCTCTGTGTTTAAAGCTGCTGCTACAATAGCAGCTTCGCACAAGACGGACGTTACTGCCCGGAAAGGCTGCTTTCCGGTCATCCGCCTCCTTTAGTCGCTTTGTCCTAGTAAACGTTTTAACCTGTCAGAGTACAAACGTGCAGAGTTTGCAGTACCAATATTGCAGGGTATATATTTGACATACTATATTTATAAAAATATGTTTAGTAAAGTTTCTGGTCCCTAGCAGGAAAGAGGTGTGTGCTATTGAAAGCCGTGGTGCCACTTCGGTTGGCTTCAGCAAGGCTTTCCTCTGCCGTGTCGGCATGTCGCTGTCCTAGCACCGAGCTTTGCAGCGATAACCTTAGGCTTCACTCATAGTTCCTCAGGTTGGCTTAGAAAATCGTGATCTAAGTCTTTGCTATTTAGCAGAATGGCACACGAAGCCATCCAAAGCAAGCTGCAAAGAAACAAAAACCGTGCAACCGTGCCATTTCACTCGCTGCCCGAAGGCAAAGCCCATGCTGTTTGTGCTCGGGATGCAGCTTTCCGGAAGAGCAAAAGGAGGCAGGTTCAGCTCTGCCCTTAGATCACCTGCAGGGGATTCAGCCCTGCCCAGAACGGGAGAAACGAGCCTGCTGGGCATTAGCTGGTACTTACCCAAGAGATGTGGATAACCAGCCAAGTGCCTTTTCCAGCGAGAGCCACCACAGGTGAAGACGATGGCTCTGACAAAGTCTCTCCCGCAGAGCTTCACGGGGTTCCCTTCGCCCCCTGCTTCGCACACTGCAGCCAGGAGGGAGACGAGAGCCAGTGCCAGCGCTGTGGGCCTCATCCTGCACAAGTGGCGCTACCAAGCTCGAGGTCGGCAGGGAAGGAGGAACCCGTAAGGCCGTGCTGGGAGTAACCTGCTGAAATCCTCTCATTTATAGAGAAGGTCCGTTCGCTCCATTGCGCAACGGCTCGTTCTGACGATGGCTTAATGTTTGCCAAAAACAAGGCAATCGCTTGTTTCACGTAATGTTTTACGTGCTCTGGGATTTCCACTTGGGTTTTGGTCAGTTATTAAAGATGTCTTAAGACTATATAACTGCTTTACAATAGGAACGCATATAGTAGCATACTGCATTTATAGGGCATGGGCATAGATCAATACTGTTAATGTGTATGTTCTGCAAAAACGAGTGGGTGTTTATTACGTGTTTCACAGGTAATGGGTTTCATCTCGGCGCACAGCGCCGCACAGCTGGGCGACAGCAGCCTGTTGCCCAGTTGTGCCTGTTATCGCTGTTCAAGCAACATCAGGCCCTTTTTCCTTCAGTAATCCCAAATTAAAAAGGAGTTAACTTCTCCCAGTTACATCCTCAGGCGCACACCTCTTTGTCAGCTGGGCCGTGTTCCCTTGCTAGGCGTCCCCCTCCCCGAAGCTGGCACCTGCGGATGTCGGAGCAACCTGCCAAGGCCCAGCCCTGGTGTGCAGGTGGGCATGAGAAAATCAGGTACTGGGGGGCCCCGGTTGCAAATATCCTTTTTATAAATGTCGTTATAAGTATGTCCACATAGGCAAGTGGAGAGGCACCTAACCCCGGCGCAGACAGGCGGGATGAGAGCCGGCGCTAGCACCAGCACCACGGCACGTCCCTGCCCCAGCGCACGTGCCAGCTGAGGCAGCGAGGTCAAGGCAAGCATGGGCCTCTGCAGTGAGGGCTGTAGATATGGCCCTTGACAAAAAAGGCAGAGAAAACGGAGGGAAATGGCTCTAGACAAAGCGCAGAATAGCTGCGGATGTTATCCTCCCACCGTTTTTCTTTTGACGTTAGCTGAAAAACAAGTGGATTCGCTAAAGCAGAGTGAAGCACCTTTGTGGCTGCACTGAATCTGCTTTCGCCGCGCTCTGTGAAGAGGTTAGTAGACCTGCTGCACTGCCCTGCACAGTCCCTCCCTATCGTTTTGAACGGTGTAGGCGGCAGGAGCTGTAGGCTTCTATTAAAAAAAAAAAAACAACTAGGGGGCAATAAAATTCTCTAAAGAGAGAACTGGGCAATTGTAAGGTCAGGAATTCCCCGTTTAAGAATAAAGTGTGAGAGGAACTTTGGAGATCTTTAACACTTCCTAGCACCACAAGTGTTATCCAGCACCATAATGTTACAGTTTAAGCAGTTTACAGTACGTGCAGGATGAATTACTGTGTGTTATAGCTGTAACAGATAGCTCATTTCTTCACCAGTGGCACCTGTAAGTAAACAGTCATGATCACTGATGAAAAATACACAGTGTATTTTGGTCAGATTTGTAATAATGATTAACACATGATTCACCTTAATGGATGTCTTTTTTTTTTTGGAAATGCACAAGGTTTATTTTCTGTCAAGGGTGAGCTTGCATTTTCATTGTAAAATGTGCAGAATGCAGAAGGAAGTGAATGTTAATGCATCGCTAAATGATCTTTAACTTTGGTGATGTGTTTAAATGTTGGACATTTATTGTTAGGCTAATGAGAGCATCTAAATGTTTTCTATCTATAAAATATGTGTCCCACTGCGTAATGCGTTCAAGAGCAGATAGCGATTGCGTTCATCAGTTGACAGGCAGAGCGCTTTACTGCCAGGCTTTTGTATCACTCTGTTCCTGTGACAAGGGGGCTCTCTTCTGTACTGGTCAGATTGTAGGCTAAAACTATCTTATTAATTAGTCATCTGTAGAGAGGCTCCATGTTCTCTTTGAGCAGTCGATCTCTGAAAACCCTCTAAGACATCACAGTCCAGCTGGTGGCCCACTGGATGCTGCTTTCTGATTCTGTCAACCTTCCCTCAGAAAGACAAGGAAAAGCTGCCTAAGCAGCCAAACACTGCCTCCGTGCCTGCTTCCGGCCAGCCAGGAGGACCTGAGAACTCTTCACGAACGCTCCTGCTCAACGGCAGCAGTAATGGTCGTAGCAGCACCCTGACTTCCTGGATCAGGCAATAGCTCTCCTACTTCCTCATCTTTCCACACCAACAGCTTGGCTTTCCAGCTGCTGGGCTGGGGGGGGAAGGTAATGCCATGTAAAAAGTCAGCTGCAGAAGTCGGTCCTTGTTCCAGGACCACGCAGTTGTCTCGCAGTTGTAAGGACTTTTCAGAAAAGTGTCAGCATGGAATAGAGTGAATTTAAGCTGCAATTTTACATGAGTCAAATCTGTCAGCGTTGAAAAAGTCAGTCTGTACTTCTGCCTGCTGTGGGGTGATCTGCAGCTTGCAGGAGCACCTAATGCCATTCAAAGCTCAGCTTCCAACCTCAGTTCTGTTTTCTGGCATGGCAGACAAGATGGATCTAAAGAAAAGTCCATTCACTTATATGATTTTGCATGGATAAAGACAACTGACTACTTCTGATAAAGACTTCAGGTTATATTCTAATTCCTGATGGAGTACCTTATACAGGAGGGGATTTTTGCTATTTTTGCTTTTTGAGTAAGTCAAGGTTAGCCTAAGGAGAAAAGACTTTAATGGACATCTTTCTATTACGGGCTCTGTATTGTGGGGAAGGCCCTTTGTACAGTAATACAACAGACCGTTCATCTAATGAAGGGGGCTTCCAGGGGAAAAGTTAGTGCATTTGGAAGGGATTTCTAACCAGTGTGGCTTCAAAGATGAATTTTAATGACTGTAAAACAATAAATGGTTTATGATAATGCTACAAGAAAACTGTTATTTTTCCCCCGATGCATAATTAAATGATGGATTTGGGAATTTGTGGACACAAGATGACATTTGTCTTTTTGCTGTTTACCGACTGAGCAGTAGTATCATTTAGCTACTGTTAAGTAGCTAGAGCAGAACCAATTATATCCTGTAAGGCATCAACCTGTAAAAGAGAAAACAAGGCTGTATTGCAGAGTAATTGCAGTATAGGAAATGAAGTGATCCAAAATTCCGCTTTACAAATCGATAACAGAATTGTTTATGTAATGAGCATCCAGAAAGCAGGCTAAGGTAGTTTGTATTGTGTTAGCTCTGCGCGTTTTGTTTGTTTTTTAACCGGTGCACCTTAGAAAATAACACTTCTTGGCAGGCCTGTTTGGATTGCATTCATCATACTTAGGGGCCAAACATATATCTTATTTATAAAGGAAATTAATTTTCAAGCTGATACATTTATGGTAGCTGTGCTTAAAAGTGATCGCTCCTGATGTAATAATGTCCCTTTAGCATTAGTTCTAGTGTGCACCTTATTGTGCTAGGCCTTATACATACCTAAGGTTAGAAAGACCTTTTTGTTATCAGAAAAGGTCATAAAAGAAACTGAAGTATGCTGGAAAGTAGGGCTGCCTCTTGAGCTTTGTGGCTCAGTGACTAACTATGTCACGTGTCCAAAGTCTGTGATATCAAGCACTGACAGTTTTGGTCCTGTTCTGGTGACTTAACAGTAGAGGGTAATTTTCTGGTTATCAACTGAAGAACTTTTTATGTCCAGAGAACTTAGGCTGTTTTGTGGTAATTTGTAGAGAAAACTACTAATTTTATTTTGTAAGTTTAACAACACTTAGCAAATGAGGCTGCAAGTAGTTACCAGGATTTCTAAATGCAACGCTGATAATTGTTAATGCTAAATTCTCTAAGGACAAAGAATAAATTATCATTAGCATTTGCTTCTTCCCCAAACAAAGTTTAGTGTTTTGCACCACGGAATTCAAAAGTGACTTTAAAAAGCATGGGTCCCATCTTACGAACTGGGAACCTAAGTCCAATGAGCCAAAGTTACCTGCTGAAAGTTAAACGGACAAAGGGAGAGCGAAGTTGATTAGGTGGTACAGTTTAGGGCTCCAGGCTACGTGCAGATCCTGGAGTAGTCCACCTGGTTCGGCAGTATCCAGAAGGAGACCAGAATTCTGTACGATGGACCAGGCAAGGAGGGCCCAGAGGAGCTTTGGTATAAATTAGCATTGACCTAGGTTGGCCATCAACTGGTAGGAGCAAAAGTGAACACAAGGGATTCACAGTTGACTTCAGTCAGCCTTTACACTGCTGCTGACACAGAAGCCATACAACTGTGCAACAGGAAAGGAACTTAGTTGTAATACAAGGAAACTGGAGAGAGACGACGTTTGGGACAAAAAAAGCCCTCACCAGAATAAGTAGTGGCTTCTACAAGAATGAATACAGAGCCAAAGGGCTGGTAGGTTTGCTGATGACAGAGAGGAAGTGAGACTATCTTGTTCCTGGCCAGGAGAGGGCATGTCGTTCCTGCTTTGTTAGCAGGGAATGGCATTTGCCAGAAAGGCAGTGACCTGCAGTCTGTGCTTAGATAAGGATACACCTTCCTGCCCTTACCCTGAGTGTCACTTCCAAGTCCAGCTGTGGGAGGCCTCTGGATTATGAATGAACGCTGAACCTTGTTAAAAGCACATTTCTCTTTAGCAACGGATTTGAAATCAAGTGAGATCTTGAGTTTGAAGTTTACCTTGCCAATTCCTTTTGATTCATAGCAGTGAGGTGTGGAACCACTTCAGTTTTCAATCCAGTCATGGAGTTGTACGTAATTTCACCTATTTACTACCTAAATCTTTAACCAGATTCTTTAACAGACACCCCCTTCTGAAGAGTGAAGAACCAGAGAAACGTGTAGGCCTCTAAGGACCAACACCTTTCCCTTGTGAGTCATACCTTATTACTATTGGAAGCCTCCAGATTCTGCAGCTCAAACACACTGACTTGGCCTTTATTGTCTCCTATCAGAAGGCAGTCGGTGTTCTTAGCGAAAAGTACAGTCGTGAATTTCACTTTTGGGTTGGCAAAGCTAGTGATTAAGGGATCCAAGCTGCAACCAATAAAGGCATACATTAATGACAACAGAGAGGAAAAATTGTGTTTGCCTGGAGTGCTATCACATACACAATTCTAGCAGTAGTGCGGTCCTGATGAATGTTTTACGCTTTACTTTTTATGTTCTAGGTTAACTTAAAAGCTAAGAAGTGAGACAGTGTTTTGTTTGTTCTCCAACAAAATAAAAATCCCAGCCATTATTAAAATCTGTCCTATTCCTTACTATCTGGGGGTGGAAGGGGTGTAAATATTTTTATAATAGGAATAACTTGGCTTTTGCTACTACAAGAGTCGGTGGGCCTCCTGATTCACTGCTTTCTTCATGCTGTCATTAATACTAAACAGCACAGACTAGCAGTACAAAGCCACAGATTAACTAAACTGCACATAAGACATGAGAGACTTGCTCCTACTTTACAATAATGTGAAAATGTCAGCAGTATCTGAACTTCCAACAGTCTCTCTCATCTTTACAAAAAGTCCAAAATAGCTCAGTTCTGTTATTTTTCTTTTTAACGCCGGAAGTGTTAAATCCATGATTACTGGAGTAATCTTACTAAGTGTTAATCTATGATTACTGCAGTGGAAAATCAGTTTTTACCCCCTATCAATTCCATTAGGCATCCCACTCCTTGTCGTACAATCACAATTCTCCAATAACTGCCATCTGTTCCTAAAGAGCGAGTGTTTCAAAATGCAATCCTTCCAATAGCTAAGCAAGCAAAAGATACAGAACTGTAACTATCTGACAACAACACTGATTGAACAGTAATGTTTAACCTCTGTGCTATTATGCCCATCCTTTCAGAATCTTCTTCAAGGGAAAGTAATTACTTACGTGCTGATGCTAAGATCCCAGATTTCTACTCTGCTTTCATTCACTGCTGCAAATATAGAGACTGATTTTGGAGACCATATAATGTCATGAACGGCAGCAGCGGTGGAACTGAAAGTTAAAATGGGCTTCTGCGAATCCTGGTGCCATAAAATAATGCTCCAGTCTGCAGAGCAGCTTAAAAACATGTCAGTGCTGAATGGATTCCAAGCGATTTTGTACACAGGACCCTTGGTGTTTGGGAAGAAGCAAAAAAGAACTTTGTGTTACTCTAGAGCTACAGCCTCACAGTACGGTTTTCAATAGTCCTCTATTCCCACAGACTTTTCATGGAAATCCCTGACTGTCTCTGACCTTTAATAGCGGAACTAGCAGTGTAATATATATATACCCATAGGAAAGTAGGATGCAGCAAATGTGATAAGACAGCAGAGCTCGTAAGAATAAAAACACTTAGCTAATTCTGTGCCTTCACAAGTTGTTAGGAGAAGCTGATGCCCTTAGGGCAGCTTCTTGGATGAAGCAAGGACTTGTAAAAACATGGTTTGTTAAAGCTCTGCCATCTTTCTTCCAGCGGTAATACTGTTTAACTATAGTCTCCAGGACAATCAGATTACTTATTGTTCTCTTTAAATAAAGCCACAACTACACCTTTAAAACACTTTATAGTACAAGCGTTAATAAATTCTTTTAAAAAAAAATTCCTTGTAGAAGAAATGTAGAAAGTAATCCCATAAGAGTGTAATGCTTTATACAATGGGAATGCTTTCGTAATGTTAGAAAAGAAGTTTTTTGCAGGTGTTTGTTTAGTAAATATAAGCAAACAATTAAGCTGGTCAGCTTAACTGAATATCGTTTCTGCTGTCATTACTGTTTTCTATGCATCACTCACCTTATGTCCTCTGTATGTTTCTAGAAACTGCTCATTGTAAGAAGAAGAACATTTGTGAATAAGACCCTCTTCTGTTCCAGCAAGATAGAAAATAGTATCCTGAAATAAAGGTAAAAGTAACCTAGATTAGATTATTCTACATATCGTTTACCCACAAATATTTAAAGAACTGGATGAACTTCGGCTGACGATCCTCTGAAAAACCAGGGTGGAGTTGCCAGGATGTTGTGTGTTTGGCCGCCTGCACATGCGCTACATAGAGGTATGTGTGGTGGATCTAGTGGTGCCAGAATGTATCAGATTTACTATGTATGTTCTCCATCTGTGCAGCACATCGGCTGTGATTTTTGACTCCGGAAAACCTTGGACTTTCTGTGAATGCTCCACACAGTTGCTCCATGCACGCAGAGCCAAGTGTTCAGGATTGGTAGAGGCCAATGATCCACATGGACAAATGCACGAATCCTTCAAATGCTCTGTGGACAAAAATTTCAGCTGGATAAAGAGGAGAAGCCCAGACAAAATTAGAGTCCTGGACTCAGAAGATGCTGAACTCTCAAATTCTCACAGATTTGACCACCATACCCAGTAAAGCTACCACAGGATTGGAGCCAAAGCAAATGTGAGTAACATGGCTGAAATTATGATATAGTTTTACACATACAGGGATTACTTGCTTGGCTTACCATATTTTTGCTAATTCTTGCTAATACTGCTCTTGCTAATGTTATCAGAAGTGGTCTGTATGTCTCGATGGAGACCCCTGAGCAAGAGGTGTTGAAATTGTTTTCGTGGACCAAAACTTTTCCTTTGGCAACGCTGCTTGTTTTGGCCATAGAGAACATGTACGTAACAGATACGTAGGCAGGAATATCATGGTACAAGATAATTTATCAAGTGAAAGGCTCCATTCATTTCTTCAGTGATATAAACCAACCTGCAGTCAAAGCAGCTAAGGGCATAGGATGGCATATTCACCTGACCATGAAGTTTGCATTCTCATACTTAGACTTCTCCAAGATACGAGGGCTTCCAATCTGTTCTCCCAGTTATAGGAGCTCTTAGTCTAGTTTGTCTCCAGAGTCTGGATAGGGGAAAAATAAATTTTCCCCTTTCAACCTTGTTTCTAAGCTTAGCTTCGCTGAAACATAACTTAGAATCACAGTCTCTGATGTTTGCCTCTCGGTATGAACGGTAAACATGTACAGATCCTAACTGTACCTGTCAGAGATATTTGTGATGTTTCTCTAGATCGTTACATGCTTTATTTTTGCCTGACAGTCTTTGCTGGATATCTAACATTACGCAAGAAGCAATTTGTTCTGGAACTGAAGACACTTTAAATACTAGTGCCAAATCCCAGGCTGGTACATGTTAAAGGAGCTCCAGCTGAGGGTCTGACATCTATTGCATAGTTTTGTTGGGTAAAATTTTAGCCAGGATGGGCTTTCTGAGCCTACCTTCGGATGGAAGTCAAAGCACATTCCAGGTGCCTGTCGAGATATCAGAGCTTCACTTCTCCTTTCTTTCTCACCTGTTAATTTTTTCTTCTCACTTTCTGTTCGCTTTATTTTCATCAGATCTGTGCAAATGGCAAGAGTTCTTGTCAAACAGATATGGCATATGACAGCAGAGTGTAACTTGTGCTTCTTTGGAATGCTCAACAGCGCTTCAATGTTTTGTTTATGATAACCAGGATATAACAGTGTCACCTAAAATTGAAGGAGGCAATTGCAATTCCAGGCGTTATCCCCGTGCAAAAAAGCCACAGGGGAAAGTGCTTACCAGAGCAACCCAGTCCTTTCCGTATGAGCCATTTGGTTATTCGGCCATCTGCTGAGATAGAGATTAATATCTCTCCTTTGTCATCTCCTGTTGTGCCTCTGTCCTGTTCTACCCACTTCAGCTGCCATACAGGACCTATATGTTTATCTAAAGACTCACTGGGACAAAAAAATGGTCATGATAAACCATATATTAACAAAGACAAGACAATCTATTTGAATTATAAATAACCTTCCACTTTGTAAGGAACATCAACCTTTTATGACAGAAATGTCATTTAGCTTTTCTTAAATATACAACTTTCCTGAAACAAAAAGCCAACGTTCGGATTTGGAGGGTTTTTATTTTTTTTAATCAAACATATTTGACATTTAATTCTAGGACTCTGTTTAATGGGCTAACATACCTTTCATTGATACCTGAATCATGAAATCAATCTGCACCTTGTTGGTGCCCTAGAACTGGGGAGCTGCTTTCAAGGCAATGTCTCCCCGATTATCCTTTCTCTTTCATCTTCTTCACAGTTCCCGCTTATCCCTCACTTAGCCTGATATGCCATGTCTCTCTCCATTTTTGGCAAATGGAATCAGTGAGAAAACACCAAAAGCCACCACTAGTCTCCAATGAGGAGCTGCTATTTAGAACAACACTGTTCTAGTTAGTTACGACCACTGTTTTGTGGTCGTAACTTACTTGCGGCGTTCTTTCTTCAAGTCAAACAAATGAGTACTACGCTCTGACCTTTTCAGAGCGGGAACTCCCTTTCTGTGCACAGCAACAGCACAGAGGGTTTCACACCCCAAATAAGGACCACTGGTGCTAAAGTAATGTAACTTTATTAGCAGAAATAAAAATTGAGAGCCACCTCAGTGTAGAGGGAGAATAGCCGTGTCTAAGTACTTGACTGTATCAGTGTAAATAGGTGGATGGGAAAAACGTGGTCGGTCTGCTCTGTCCCCTTCTGGGCATTTACGTGTTATCGTATATTTCTGTGCCTCCAAATTCTGCTCCAGAAACTTCTGATATTTGAGAGTATTGAGTATTTGTGTAGGCATTTCCAGTCAGAACTGGAAGATGCTGACAGAAGTTGGAAATAAAGAAACTATGTAACGTCTCTGAGCGTTCACAAGATCTATTTATCAAGAGTGCCAATACTTGCTCACCAAATAACAAATAAAATATCTACAGTGGAGAGACTAAGACATGGCCAAGGTAGAAGGAGATGGGAAATCATGGTCTTACCTGCTGTCTAAGAGTGCAGTGTTATTATGGCTCTGTACGTTATAGATTGCGACAGTACCATTGTACATTCCAACTGCTAAAAGATTAGGGCTCGCGATAGAAAAATCCAAAGTAGTAACACCATGTTCACACTGAAAAATACGCTCTGGCCACTGACCAGAAGAAAAACATGAGAACATTTTAAGTTAGCCTCTTAATTCACCTCAATCTTCTGAGCGCTGATATACTAAATTGCCAGGCTGTGCTGGAAAATTCAAGTCCTGATGACCATAGTCTCTGCTTCCAGATAGACATTAAGGACTATAACTGGTTCAGTTTACTATTACTTGCTGCAACTGTTACAATTAGGAATTAAAAAGACTATGCAGAAATATGACACTGTAAAATACATTGGATGGGCCTACCCCAAACCAAATACCCCAAACCCCAAACCTAAAATATCAACTTCCCTAAGAAAATAAACTAAAACCAAAAAAATCCCCCAAACCCAAAAACCAAACTTGGCATTTTGGAAGATTTCTCCAATTGTTGCCTATCTATCTGAAGGTATTTATGTTTCTCTGTAATTTTAGGTAAGTGCCTTTCTAATCACAGAAACTTAGCTGAAGATAAAATATAATCTAAGATACTTTAGGTAATCTGTAAACCGCTATCCTCATGCAATTTCTCCGCATAACTAAAGAACTGATTCACCTCTGTTTTAAGGTTGAACTCGAAAAAAAGTCACCACACTGAGCTCTTGAAATGGGAAACATTAAAGTATTAGCTCATTAGAAAAATGACTGTATTTCAGTGTGCATGCCAACTCCTGTTTCTTAGTGCTAGGCAGTGAGGATTACAGTGACACTGGGAAATCACAAGTCTTGATTGTTCTAGATGCCAAACCTATGTATGACAGCATCAAAAATTAGAGATTTGATTCTGCGCTATTTAAGATAGTCTAATGCACAATTTTGGCTGCATGAAGTTTGTAGAACAGAACAAAGCTCTTTAATATCACTGCAATCAGAGGATTTTCACTATGTCCTCATAACTGAGGTTTCCAAGATATTTTTTTAAAATGACAAGTTTTAAAAGAAAATCTGCAAGGATCATTTATCAGAAGGATGTAAAGGATATGTAAAAATGTTATATCTAGGAAACCTACTGTTTTTTGACAGTATTAGGAAAGTTTACATTAGTTAATTTAATTTTATATTTACTTTTTTCCTTCAGGCTAACACAGAACTTTATTGTAGAACAGAAAACGGATTGGAAAGGAGAAACCTTGAATTTAAAATACAGATAATGTCTGTAATCAGAAGTCAGAAGCATTGAACAAATGATCCACAGATTTTTTGAAAAACAAAAGGTAAATGGATTCATTTTCACATTTGCTGTGCTCAAGACTTTTTCCAGTCTAAAAAATCTTTTCAGAAAGATCTACACACATGGATCTACACACAATAATAACTAAATTGATTTACAGTCTTGGTTAGCTCACTGCAGGGACTAGAAATGGGATACAGAGATTGACATTCTTAAGTTGTCTAGTATAGACTGGTATTACCTGACAGTTGTGACCCCCTGTTAGCTGTCTGGTGATCTATGTAAAATGAATTCAGTTCCTGTGAGCAGATGTCCATGTTACAAAACCACTAGTACAATCAGCACCTCTGTTGGCAGTACCAACACAGGGGCAGGCACAGAAATAAAATCACTGCCTACCAGCACTTTCTTTGGGCCAAGACTCAAGCACTTTGCTAGGTACTGCAGTCAAAATCAACTTTCCAGAAATTAATTCGCTAGTGGGGCTAGCAAATTAATAACCTTACTGGTTAGGTCTTGCTTTTTGAAATAGGAAGAGGGAATTAAATAAGGCAGAAACAGTACAGCAGAAATATACATTGAAGAAAGAAAACAAACTGCTTTCTTGCTGCTTCTGTTACCATGGGGTTCTTCAGTGACCAACAGCAAACCAAGCCGTTCTTCTGTTCTTTAAAGTCAAACTCTCCATAACCAACAGCCAAAAGATCCTAAAAGCACAGATTAACAGATATACGTCAGTTCAACTTGAAATTCAGTTTTAGATTTTTAAAAAGCAACTTTCTGCTGATAGTGACTCAGAGTGCAACACTTACAAAAATAATGCTCATATCATATGCAAGTAGAATAATACAAAAAAACCCTAGAATTTATGCTCACTAGATTAGATGGTACCTCAATTAATGCAGCCTACTGGTCACTAAGAGTGGAACTGGTTCAACTAAAAGTGCATTTGTAGTTACTATCCATATTTTTGAAAAAATAAACAAAAAAACCCAACTCCCCCCAAGCTTATTATAAAAATATGTCCCTCTCCGGGGAGTATACGCTACTCTATAGGCAGATTTTAATGTGCAATATTTAATAGAATATGTAATGCTTTTTCTAGTCTTCTCTCTGAACGTTAACTACAGAAGGAGCTTCAATGACCACTTCAACCACTTAACTTTTAGCTCTCTGCAGTGGGATACAATGAATTCTGTTCTGGCTATCCATAAGCAAAAAGTAGAAAATAGCAGCAAGGACCTTAGCCTTCAACTCTGTGTTGGTTTTTTTTTGTTTTGTTTTGTTTTTTTCTCTTACACAAAACAACCTGTCAGTGAAACTAGCTCTTTAAAAGCAGATATATTTGTTTGCCCTATAATACTAGGACTGAAGTGCATAAATGTGTCCAGCTTGATAACATCTGACATCTGGTGTACTAACCTGATGAAATGGTCTTTATTTTCTCTTTTTTTTCCCCCCGCCCTTGGGGTAATCTTACTGGTTTTACATTTCTCGTTCTCTGTTGTTTTTATGTTCCTCCCATGCATTATTTTTGTTGTGACCACAGGAGAGCTCTGCTGAAGAACTGAGCTTTACATTACTCTGAAAATTGAGATGTCTGAGCCATCTCACCTCCACTGAAATTGAGTTAAGTAAACTTGGGCCATTAGCTGGAAAAATTGTGCCTGCTATCATGCATCTTGTCCTTAAGGCTTGATGAATGCAGCTTTCTTTGGAGATTACCGTTAGAAAGAAAAAGGGGTATCTAAACTATCTTGGATCGACTCTGTCAATGGTAATAAAGTTTAAGAGTAGGGGTTTAAATTTCAATTCCTAATTCTATCATGAACCAAGTTAATTATCATAATGTTATTGATCAGGTGACCAGCAATGGTAAACTGATGTACGCTGGACCAATTAAAGCTGTTACGACAGATCTGTAGGAAAAGCCTCGTACAGTTGTCCAGCCTGTAGGATAATGTAGCAACACTATCGTATGGAAGGACAAAATACATACATTGGGATGCAAACACAACCTGCCTGACTATGGGGAGGAATCTGTCTCTTTGAGATCCCTCCCAGCAAAGCATATTAAGATCGGGACTATGTTGACACTGGCAAGTACTTATATTGTTTTGTAAACAGCTTAGAAGAACTCACCGGGTTTAGTTTGTTCCAAGCCATACTGCTCACACTGTGCCCGTTAGTGAGATCACATGTATATGACCACAGTCGTTCCAAACTGGGAGGCCCAACTTCTTCTGGGGCTTTATTTAGATTTGACAGAATTGAGGGGGCAACAAAGATATCCTTCTGTTCTTCCTCATCCTGCTCTTCCTTTTCCTCCTCAGCTTCTTCCATGGCTATTACTATATCACTAATATTTGATGTAGCGACAGGTTCTAAAATGCACAAACATAGCACAATCCAAATAATAATCATTTCACTTATCTGTAACAGTAACTCACACAGAAGAAAATAGAATGCTCCTTTTCTACTTTTCAGCAAATATCCTGCAACAACAAACTAAGGTGAAGATTCAAGAACTTTCAAAACTATGATTAAAATGTTGATAGGAACATAGGAGATGGCTTGGTCAGGCTATAGTGCGCCAGTTCTTGTACCAGATATTTAATAAGTGGATTTAACTACCCAGCAACGAGCAGTTATGAATCTGTGCCACCCTCCTCAACCCAGGAGTGTTTCTTTCTAATCTCTTGTATTAAAAAAATTAGCTTAAATAGGGATTTTTTTTCGATTTTGATGCCAGATTTTAGAGATCTACACTTAAATATCAATGCTGTAACACCTTTGTTAAGTTACATGCTTCTGTAGCATAAGTAGCTCGCTACTTGGCAAAATTAAGCATAGAACGTATTTTAGACTGTTTGCGATGTGCTCTTTTGTTTACTCACCCCTTTATTTTATGTGATGTCCAAATCATAAATCGATCTGGGATCACTCCTAACAAAATCAGAACATAAGAACTGCCATACGTCAGAACAAAAGTCCACCTACCCAGCATCACGCTTTAACTGTAGCTAGTCACAGAAGAGTGGGTAGAATACAAGACAGACTGATTGCCTGCAAAACTGAAACTCTCTGTGCCATGAAGAGGCATGATACAGTTAAAGCAGGGTAAACTTACTTCACAGATATTTTTCATCCCTAATATTAACCTGGACCTCCTATAAAAAGTAAAACGTTGCTCAGCCGTTGGGTCCAGGTAGTATCTTCTACAGTCTGCAGTGAACGCCCTTTCTGTTCAACGCTCGTTATCTATCAGGCTAAAACTTCTGTTTTCCGTCACACAGTCTGATTTTTAAAAGCTCTATGTTTCAATAAAAAAAATGATTGGAAAGATAGCAGAATTTGTCTGTATCTTAACTGTCAGGGAACAGGTCTGATTAACATTTTGGATAAGTCTCCGTTTGCTGTGATAAGGGGATACGAGCCAGCACAGACACCGTTTATTCAATTCTCCCAACAAGTTCTGTAGGGATGTCAGTTTAGATGAGCATAAAATGGCAAAGTTTGCGTTGACAACTCGTAAATTCTCCTTTCCTTTGTCTATTTCTTAAATGACTTGTTGCCTGTAAAGACATTCCACGAGGGACATAGCTACGTGGCTTTCAGTAGCATACAAAACCTTGTGCCAAAAATGGGGTAGCTGATGACAAACAAACCTATAAGGACAGGAAGTTGCCGATAAGCTGCCAGTTTAGGTTGAAAAATATTCTCCATTAGAATCCTCTCCATGAAAAATAAATCCTGACGAAATTTTTCTGATTTTAATATAGACTCTGAATGGTCTTCCTCCTCTTCATGGATTCTGGCAAGAACAGTACTGTCCAAATCCATTATAGAAGTTGTGCTCTCTGACAACAGATAATATTGGAAAAAGCAGTTTTAATACAGTAATACTTTGCATGCAGAAGTCAAGGGAGAAGAAAAAAAATCTTCTTCTCTCCCTGTAAAAAGCATAGAAGAACCTATCATCATCAGAATACCTGCAGTATTAAACCTTCTCTTGCTCTAATTTTGCTTTCATTTATTGCTCACGTGTATGAAAAGTATGATGAAAGTCTTCTGGAATTTTTTGCAATTGGTTTTACTTCTACTGTCTTAAGTAATTTAGCATGGTACACTTTGTCACTGGCTAGTGTGGGGCGTTTTTTTGTTTTGTTTTGTTTTTTGTTTTAAGATCATTTACAAAGGCTTTGTATAGCAAAGGTCTTGGCACAGACCTGTCCGAGATTTTTCAGCAAGCTGCCTCTTTCAAGTGCCAGACAGGCAGACCAAACACTTTATTCATGTAGTTTTTTTCCATACAAGATAGTGATATGCACAGTTTAGAAGGATGAAGACACTGCAAAAACGTAAACCTAGAAAAATGTTACCTCTGTCAGGAGTTGTAGATGCAGTCTGATCACACTCTTTAGTCATAAGAGACATGCTGCTGTTCACAACTGTGGCTCTTTTACCTTCTGCTTTTGATGTAGGTTCTATTTCCAGTGCATTAAAGGAATCATACAAGTCCCAGGAAGTGACCATCATGCCTAGAAATGAATTATGCTATACGCAGTAGTCTTTCATTTCCATACGTTATTACAAAGAACTGCAGGTGAGCAAAGATTTACTTTTTATACAACACGCTAAATTGTTTGGCAGAAGGGCCTAGAAATTCACTGAGGGTTGGACAAGGCTGTAGCAACAGCTGTTGTGTGATGCAAGGCTGCATCACAGTCTTCTGGATTTGTGGCTTCCCTTCCGTGTGGCCATCTCCCAGTAAAACAGTACTGTGTAACCAGATCTCTGTGCGCTCAAATTTTCAAGCACAGATTGGAATGAGCGCTGGTGGGGACTGAAGGCACACAAAAAGGGGAAGATATGTTTTCAAATCATATTAATATCTACAGTAGTTATCTATAAACACTCATTTTACTTCCTTTCGCTATACCTTCTTTTTTACATTCACTTTACACATAGTGAAGAAAACAAAGAAATAATGTTGGGAACAGCATTCCCCATAGCTTTTTCTGGTCGGCTACACAAACAAAAATGTGCGTAGTAATGCAAAGCTCTGAACACACACCCAAAACCTGGCTATTTTTTTAGAACATTGATGCTGAACATTTTGTAAAACTGCATTGTCTTGTGAGGCTACCAAGATTTCTTGTTTTCACTAAGACTAACGTCTTAAGACTAATGTCATAACAGAGCTTGTCTCCCTTGCATTTTGGCAAATAGAAACGGAGAGTGTCACTGAAAAAGCTGGAGGGGAAAAAAGGGAACAGTGCCCTTTCATATTTCAAGAATATAGCTGCTGATTATTGGGTAAAGTTCTGCCTCCTAAGAAGCACTCTCCTTACGCAGGCAGGACACAGCAGAGGACAACTCTTAGAGTGATGACTCTTTTATTGCAATGGATATAGTGTACTAGCACCAATTTTCAAGTATTAGGAGGGGCAGAAAAGGCTATTACAAATCACACCAGCCTGCCTTAATTGGAAGCTCTGGAAATGAAAGTGGAAGTTGAGGAATTATCTTCCCCTGCGTAGCAAGAAAGAAAAGGTTTCCTTAGCCTTCTGAGGTCTCACAATCTAGCTGTATGTTAGCATTTTCCCAAATAAATATCTAATAAGCAAACTAAACGTAATAATAAACCTAGCTGCCAAGGGTACCACTGGCAAGGGTACTGTATAGTAAATGAGAGCCCATTCTTACTAAATACCCATTTCCATATAGTACTTAGAGAGTTTACCTTTATCTTCTGTGTTGATTTTGTCACACTGCGCTTCCTTGCTTTTTGGGGCTCCACTAAGGGTTTGCATCATTCTTTCCACAAAGCGATCGTTACCAAGTCTATTTTTGCAAACGTCAACATAAATCCTATTCCGCTCCCTTGAAAAAAAAAATATGTGTATGTTGGCTTTCCGAAAACCATTTGCTTTCAACTTTTCAATGTATTCAACCACAGCTTGAAGAAAAGAGCATAAGTTTACCGCTCCGTTTGTGTGTGTATGTGCTGCCAGACTTTGTTTCAATCTGCAGCTATTTCTGACCTTGTAAGGCTGTTCTAAAACAAAAAATGGCCCGCAGAGATGGGCCTCAGCAAAAATCCCTAATCCAGCTACCTTTGAATATTGGTAAAATTTAAATGAGCTCAGAAATAAGTAGCTCTCATCACTTAGGAGTAAAATGTAGTGCATCCAAGAGACAAAAATGAAACTGTTATGCTTCTATTTAGTCCAACCCTCAGATGAGTAGAAATGATCAGTAGGAATTGCAAAACTTTTTCTACTATTTTGGTTTCAATATTCTAATAGGAGACTGGATTCTACCCAGCCTTAATCCACGAACAGGTTGCTGACCTCAGAGTCACTGTCTGTTCCTGTACAGTTGGTAGTAGTATGTGCTGTGTACACCAGCAAAGTCTGATTCATAGGATGCTCTTCCTCTTCCTTTTTCCCAAAAATCACACCACAGTGATTCACAGATAGTGGGGGTTGGAGTCCTACCATAAACTTTGCATGCATACCAAAAGAAAAAGCTCCTTTGTCTAAGTTGTTCAGCTTCCCAAATGCGGCACACTGGATCCCAGGCTTTGGGGCTTACATCTACACAAGCTGTGTGACAAGTGTATCGGTCTGGCATCAGTCACGGAGAGAACTTCTCTGCCCTCCGTCCCAGTCAGGTCCTGGGAGGAAGCCAAAAAAGCTATGTGTTCTAGGTGAACTCCCTGCCAAAGTTCATGGCAGTCCAGGGAGTAGACTCTAAAGTGGAAACAAACTAGATGCAACTAAGGTGGGGCACAACTTTTTAAAAGACAGTCATTTGTAGGGGGTGAGTTTTTTTCTAGCCAGAAGCACAGTAAAGAGTTTCAGAGGACGCCAAGGGATGCCTAGCTTGTTTATATCTTTGTTTGAAATCATTGGCTATAAAACTGCACGTGAGAATTAATATAGGGTTTTGAAATTACTTACTGTTTTCATTAAAGTTAAATCATGTTAAGTAATTCATGTATACCATATTTCTCTGTCTTTTCCTTTGCCCATTCTCTCTGCTGGTTCTCTCTCACTGTCCCCCACTTTTGCTGACTGCCTTATTTTACCAGTAAAACATGGCATGAATTTGACCAGCAAGATGAACTTCTAAGAAAATTAACCCTCTCTTGTCAAAAGACAGAATTGACCCTAATATGGCTTTAGATGAAGGTGAAATGGCAAACTGCAGTAGTCAGAACACTGAACCTATGTGTGAGCAGCCTTTTCAGGACTTTGTGATCAACAGAAACTGGGTGGGCTGAGCATATTGCATGCACGGACACGACTACAATTATACATACAGAACTTTTTCAGCATCTTCAGACTCTACAGACACCATAACAGATGGCATATCCAACATCCAAATAGTTTCCGTCTCTGTAAGGTAAATATCCACTCGCCTATCCAAGTCTTCTTTTGTCAGTTGTTCTTTTATCTCCTCTCGCCTCACCTGTATATCTGACAAATTATATGAGGTTAACACATGAGAACTTTTCTGCTCTAACTTTAGAAGAAGAAAAATTAATTTGAAAAGTATTGTAATAAACAGGAGCCAAAACTTGTGAGTCACTGTGACTTGTGAGTCATCCTTTGAAGTGCTTGGCATCTCACATCCACTGACTGCAGTGTCTCACAAATTACATTGCTCCAAAGAACAGTTTAAATCTGTAATTATACAGTGTATGTTCTTTACCAGTTATGCTAACAGTTGTGTCTCGCCGAGGGCCAGGTTCTACTATTTCATCTGCTATGGACTCAGTTGTTGACGCATATGATTTAGAAATAGTGGTGCTTCCATACGACCTTCAATAACAAAGAAATAAACAGAAATCAGATGTGAGAGTCCAGATGTCAGTTAGCAAAGCGCTACAAAATTAGCAGTGTTGTCACCAGGAAAAAACACATAATACTCTGCAATAGCATGTAGGGTGATGGTTATGTTGAAAAAGAAATAATAGAAGGCTTTGGAAAGAAAATAATGAAATGGCTTGAAGAAGACCTAAAAAGGAAGATTTCTCCTGTCAGTATATCCCAAGGCATTAAACAGCAGATAGAAAAGAAACTGTTGAGCTCTTAGATTAATTCTTAGCATATAATAACATGAGGTGTTGTTTACCTGCTGTGTGATAACACATACCCACAAATAGCACTGTTCTCAAACAGAAATAAGATCCTTTGGTGCTTTGCATGCGCTGGAATGTCTTTGAAATGCATAAGAAAATCATTTGAAGGGATTAGCTTGCTAAAAAAGTAGATTATGTTCATGGAAGGAATAGCTGTGATAATTAAAAGTAAAATTCAAAAATTACATATAGTTGCTTTTTAGCAGATTTTCTCTTCCTCAAAAGTGAAGTATGAGTGATTATAAATATACAAGATGCATTTGAAAAGACCTTTTTAAAGATTTGCATTAAAAACTAAAGTAAAATCATTTCATTCTGTATTTTAAGTGAAGAGCTCTAGGATCCAAAATTATACATTTATTTTTCAGGAGATACCTTATATCTTTTAAGTAGTTATTTGTATATATCTGCTCTGGCTTAGTATCCCTACCTCTAAAATTATCCCTCATGATAGCCACTCTAGGAGGCATAACAAAAAAATTGCTCTCAAAGAACAACTTCCTTTCCTCGGAAATTACAATCACATTAACTTTGCCAAAGAAAACAGTAAACAATGCTTTTCTTTATATAACCTTTTTTCCCCCAGTGCTGATGTTACTAGTCTCTAGTCCCTCTGACTAAATAAATAGCACCTCCTCTCCATACAATTTGCATGTGTACCTACCATCTGATAAAGTGATGTGGTTCATTATTTTCTTTTTAAACGCAAATAGTTATTTACCTTCTTCTGCATAACTTAATTGAATTTGTCAGCCAGAAGATGAAATGTCTCAGATCTACTAACTTTGTTTATGCCCTATGTACTGAAGGTTTAGGGATAGTAAGTAGTGAACATGTAACTTAGCAGATTTAATTCAAAGTTTTTAAATAAGAACATTTTTCAAACGTGCATTTACACCAATTTCTTCTGTGTGTGTGCATATATTACTTTAAAAGGAAGAATTGTTATTATATTAACAACATTTTGATATCCGAATAAAAACACTCAAGTTTTAAAAAAGGGTTGCCTGTAGTTAGTAAATATAATTAAAATAGACAAACAGTTTTAAAACAAATTTGTAACTTTTCAGTGAAATCAGACCTTTTGTCTCCAGAGCATTTTTACATAACCGTACACAGGCAGATATTAATACATGCCAGTCTTTGAAAAGTCACGCTTGGGGAAAGCAGAAACTAGCTGAGGTGGCCAGGAGTCTATTAAAGAGCCACAATTGCCCCTTCTTGGCTTTACGGTCTTGCTCAGACAACTGGAACACAACCTCCCATATCTTTAAGACAGTGTTTTGTCATGTAAGTATTTATAGGTTTTATCATGACTTTGCATGCAGGCCTAACCACTAAAAAACCTGCAGTCTGGATGTCCACATTTTTGAATTGTGATGTACTCATTACTGTCTCTAAAAATGGCCCGTTCTGGAACATTGCATAGAAAAATTTTAGGAAGGAGAATTTGAGTAAAATTAGAAATGTCACAGCAGTGCGTGCAGCAGTCTGCTTTCACTTATATTAGAATTTCAGAAAGTAGTTCTGACACAGAATCAGTCTTAGTCTCAAGTACGGACAAATTCCATTTATTCTGTTTCTTACCATTTTCCAATTTTAATTGACAATTATAGCCTAAACAGGTAAGTTTCTGTATTTTGGCAATGGCAACATAGTATAATTATTACCCTCCTACAATTATTCTGGTTCCCAACCCCTCTAAAGAGCAGAGGTGTAGCTATTCTAGGCTAGGTACCCTGTGAGGCAGGATTTAGGAGACGGAGTATATCACCTTACCTTGAGAACGGACCTACTAAACTAACATTCACACCTGATGTCTGTTGCACGGAAAAAGAAGAGAAGAAACCAGATCCTGTGGCCCCAGAGTAATCACTTTGTGCTAAGAGTTTGCCTTGTTTAGTCACAACGCTACTGGGATCTCCCCGGAAGAGAGGACGGGGCGTCACATCCTTTCCTTGATCATCAAAAACCTGAAGAAATATTCAGATAATCACAATAGTTTCACTGTGTTCTGAAAACAAATGAGTGACGGCACATGCAACATTTTTTTTTTTTTTGGAACAAAAAAGACCCCGATCCAGGCAGGGCAGGGAGATATTCACCCTCCCTGGCAGAACAGATAGGTAACCCTTCTCATGCAAAGGAAGCCTAATGTACACCACTGACAAGGGCGAGGGTGTTTGTATTCCCGCTTTTCCTTGAGAATTCAGCCTTGAGAAGGCAGCCGTCACCTTTGCTTGGGACTTCTTTGGATCACTCTGTATAGAAATGGCTGAAGGATATCCTGAGAAATTACATTTGCCTAGCTATCTGAGTCACTTCTTGGTTAACCCTGCTGTCTTTTCAGGCTTGCTTATTCCATGACTGCCAAGAGTGGCTTATTGGCCCCCACTGTTCATATCAAATTAACAGTACAGCAAAAGCAACTAGAGAAACAATTGTGCAACTTTTTTTTATTATACTGCTCAAAATACCATTTCATTTTAAGTATGTATTCAGTATGGTCTCCAAACAGCACTCAGATTATATTATGGGAATCTCTGCTCTTTGTTAGGTAGAGACATACAAATGTTCCAGTCAACATATCTCGTGCAGATAGTTCTTCTTAAATAATAAGTAGTTCTTAAATTAGGAGGAGGAATGTTATTCTAAATTGCTTACCTTCAAAGCAATGCAGGCAAATATTTGAAAAAAAAAATATTACACTGTTTGGCTATCCTACTGCATAGGAACAGAGGTTCCTTTGTCACTAGTGGAAGGACTTTAGCAGAATGGTACACAAGAACACAGACTACATCTACACCGCTAAGTAAAACAGACAGTTCTCTAGTCTTGAGGCCAAGCGCCCCGGCTCCACTCACAGTACAAAGTCCTTGACTTTGTGTCATCTCTAGGCTTCATGTGATGCTCTGATGGTCCTAAATTAGAGTTATTATTTTGGGTTGATTGCTTCTTTTTTTTTTTTTCCCCCCAGTTCAAAGTACCTAAAACAAAGTGAGGGCTGTGTTGCAGCTCGTAGCACAAACTGAATGTAATCCTACATGTCTTGGGGTGTGACGTGAGCGCATTAAGACTTTTTAGGGGTGCAAAACCTGCTGGGATGGTACCGGAGGATCGTATGGGCAACAGAAGGCTAACCACATACCCCCTTGAACATGTCACCCAATGAGAATGTATAGTGTGTGTTATCCCCTAAAACTGTGCTACTGTTCCTGAGAGTGCTAACCAGCAGGGACCAGAACAGTTGCAGAGTGTACTAATGATCCGTAATCCACTGCTCCCTGTTTCATTTAGCAGTAGAAATGCAAGCACAGTATCCATGTGCAGTCCCTGTCCCCTTGGAGATTTCGCTTCCTTCAGTTAGATGCATCTGCTCCGAAATGCAATACTTGGGGCAGCTGAGGGGCTGCAGAAGAGAACCCGTGATACCCCATACGCTGAGCGGGAAACTAGAAACCTCAGCTAGCCAGAGAAGAACCTTGAAGGACTGGGATGCATCATACACCCACTCTCTCTGGAGCTTATGCGTTGCGCTCACTGTCGCTGAGAGCTCTTCCCTCCAGCCTCACAACCCTGAAACCTCTTGTCAGCCTTAAGTGCTTAAACACTTTTTCCAGCTAAGTGCCTTTCCCTTTATCTAACTCCAAAAGGAATTAATCTGTAGTCAGTGTTTAAAATGCTGGTTTCGTTAACTCACGTAGCATATACAGTTGACTTATACAATTGACTTCTGACAGTCTCTCAAGACTCAGATCTGTGGAACATCCAACCCCTCATGCCAAAGAAACAGGAAAAAAGAACACCTATAGAAAGCTAAAGAAAACAGCAAAACCAAAGCAAAGCTTGTTAGTCTTTGCTTTTTATACCATGAAAAAGCGCGTATGCCTATCTGCTTTGTTTTTATTCTTGCAGGTTGTTTTTATACACGGATCATCCTCTTCTCAACATGGACTCAGCTCTCAGATCATCTTCTTTCTCCACAGCCCTTCAACTTCAGCCATGCCTTTTCTCTCCTCCTTCTTCCCCTGCTTCTTTCCTTACAACTTTCAAAATCTACAATAACTCACGTTAAAAACTTTTTAGTAATGGCGCGACAGCTTCTCACCTGTATGGCATGCTTGGCAGGCAGGAGAGAGCCCTTGTCCACGGCTCTGCCCTCAGAAGCTGTGAACTGGCTTCTTCGGCTCGCTGCTCTGTACGAGTAGGTGCTGCTTGTGATGCTCCCTTGTCTTTGGGTACCAGAACTTGCTGCCGATCCTTTCCTTATGCCGAGATCTGTCTTAGAAGTTCTATTTCTATCGACAAAACATGATCCACAAAATGACATACTCCTTAGCTTTCATGAACGGTTTAAAGGTATGGTAATATGGAAATAAAGTCATTTCCTTAGAAGAATCTCCTTGCAGCTTCTCAGGAGGCTTTCCCAACGGGTAATGTGAAGAGCAAGGTGGACAAGGATGGGGGAATTGGGTAAAATAAAAGCGTCATTGGTGTCCTGGGGCTAAGCTAATGGCAACCAACGCGGAAATCGAGGAGGAAGAGATGCGATCTGCGACTGCCCCTCAGTCAGCGCTCCGGTGAAACGGGCACTCCCCCGACACCCGTCCAAACGGGGCTCCCTCACCCACATGCCCCTGCCCCCCCCGACCCCAGCAGCAAACCCTCTTATTTGCGGATCCTTTCCCTC